TCGGGAGAGTGCGGTGCTGGGAGCGCAGCGACGCTCCCGCCATGGGTTCGGATCCTATATAAAGATGGCCGGTGCGCTCACTGGCTGAGCGTGGTGCGGACGACACCAGGCCAAGGGTTGCGATCCCCTTACCGGTCACAAAACAGACAAAAAAAAAAAAAAAAAATTCAGAGAACAATAGTACCTTAACAATATTACACTCTAATATATTCTATTCTGGTCGATTTCATCTCTTTACGTACACTGATTGCAAGTCATGAGATTGATTTCACAACCTACTAAAGCACTGTGACCCTCAGTTTAGAAAATATTTCTAACAAAAACAAAAAAAGGTTAAAAAATAAAAAATAAAATAAAATATTTCTCTTTAGAAAGATTACAGATGCATTTTTCAGAGCACACTTTGCTTTTACTGATGTTTGTTTCTCTGATCCATGGTAATCCCTCAGTGTTTGTGCCATTAAACATTAGTGGTGTAAGGCCTGAGTTGTGGATCAGGTGTTTTTGTTTTATTTTTGGTGGCTGGCCAGTATGGGGAACTGTGGATCAGGCTGATCCTTATATTTACAGGTTGACAGAATGTATCATTCCTTTGCTTTAAAGGTAACATAGAACTGGAAAATTTAGAAAATTCTTAAATTCCATAATGTAGGACCCAGAAAAAGATCCATGATTCATATTTTGCATTAGATGGCTAAAAAGTTACCATAAAAACGAATAACAAACACACACACACACAAACATATTTATCATGCTGACCCTGTGCCAGTTATGGTCCTAAATGTTTCCCTCAAAAATAAAAGTAGGAATTCATTTTATAGATGAAGAAACTGAGGCACAGGAAAGTCATGTGACTTGCCCAAGTTCTTAGAGCTAGTAAGCAGAACTGGGATTTAAGTCCAAGAAGTCAAGCTTCAAAAAGCTCTGCTCCTTCTTCCTCACTCTTTGGACTCTCTTAGTCTTTTAGTCCGTTTTGTCTTTCTATAACAGAAATACCTGAGACTGGGTAATTTATAAAGAAGAGAGGTTTATTTGGCTTACGATTCTGGGAGGGCTGCAGCTGACACGGGCCTCGGGCTGCTTCTGCTAATGGCGGAAAGCGGCAGGGACAAGCAGATCACATGGTGAGAGGAAGAGAGAGAGAGAGAGGAGGTGCCAGGGTCCTATAAACAACCTGCTCTCGAGGGAACTAATAGAGGGAAAACTCTCTCATTAATCCCACCATCCCCAAGGAGAGCATTAATCCATTCATGAGGGATCTGCCCCCATTATTCAATCATTGGGGATCAATTGGGGATCAAATTTCTACATGTTTTGGAGGGGACAACACATCCAAACTCCTTCAGTCAGCTACAGATATTATCAGTGTTGGATAATCTTTTTTCCTTCATTTAGTATGTTGGGCCTGATGTTCATGTGATTACATTTTTTAATAATTTTAATAATACAGTTTTATTTTTAGAATTTCTCTTGTGGGAAATTCAGTCATGTGAACTTTCATTATTTGAAGTAATACTGAGACAAACATTTCCTTAGACAAACTTTGACTGGCATCTCTAACCTTTAAATAGTAAAGCAATGGAAGCAGTCACAAGAAAAAAATTTTAATCTATTTACCTTAAAAAAAATAAATCCATAACTGGTAATATAAGAAGCGTACAGCCCATTATTAATATTAATTTTATATTCTAGCCTGTGATTTTCTTTTTAAATATGACCAGTAAGGGGATCTTAACCCTTGACTTGGTGTTGTCAGCACCACACTCAGCCAGTGAGCGAACCGGCCATCCCTATATAAGATCCAAACCTGTGGCCTTGGTGTTATCAGCACCACACTCTACCGAGTGAGCCACGGGCCGGCCCAACACATGTCTATTTCTCTTTGCCCTTATCCTTTCTTCCTGCCTAGAACATAGATAAGACCTCTAGAGGTGCTGCAGATAACCATGAGATTAAAAGTTACATGGAAGATAGTTAACACAAAACGATAGAAGGAACCTGCATACTTGGGCAGCCTAGGCAGCTCCTGAAAGGCGTGAAAACCAACTTAGCCTTTTTGCTAACTGAAAAAAAACAAATTTCTTTCTGGCTAACTCATTGAAATAGGTTTCTGTGAAATGTGTCCTAATGCTTCTGTAATTGAAATGCAAATATTGGTTGAGTGAATGGTACCACTCCATGAGCATGTTAACTTCATTAGGCTGAGAATTCTCCCATAACAGGGCTTGGTGCATAGGAGAGGCATCGCTGTGCATACCCATTGAATGAATAGATAGATGTATCATGCATGGTCAATCTAATTTCCAGCTATATCTCTTATTTCTCCTTTTTGGGGGGAAATATCTTACAGCATATATCCTTCCAGGTTATTTACCCATCTCAGGCATCACTCTAGGACCAATTTGCAGTCTATCAGCAGTGTGTGGGTAGTTTTTCCACCACATGCAAACCCCTCCAAGACTATAAGGATATCATTAACCTTTATATCATTGTCATTTGGATAGAAAAAAATAGTTTTCTACATAATTCGTATTTTAGTTTTTTATGAGGTTCAATGTTTTTCATGGGTGACTTGTCAGAGCATGTTTATTGAGGATTGGGCATTTGTCTCCTGGTGAGAAGTCTTAGTCTAATGCTGGCTCTGGGGACATCTGGCTCTTGACTTTCTGAGGCTGCTGTCTGCATGTGGAATGGAGGAGCCCTGGCCTTGGAATAAGAAAAAATGTTAACTTCCCACCTCATCTGTTTCTGACAAGTTTGACTTTAAGTTTTATCTGTAAGTTACAGCAATGATACAATAAGAAAAAATGTTAACTTCCCACCTCATCTGTTTCTGACAAGTTTGACTTTAAGT